AGCTTGAACCGCCGACCTTGCAGTCCAAACGGCTTTGCAGTCTGGCGCATTAACCCACAACGCCACACCAGAGCTCCTTTGTTTTTGTTGTTAAGTGCCCTTGTTGTTGTTGTTAAGTGCCTTCGAGTCGGTTCCGACCCATAGCGACCCTGAACAGGGTTTCCAAGGCTTTACGGGAGCAGAAGGCCTCATCTTTCTCCCGCGTGCCAGCCGGTAGTTACGAACTGTTGACCTTGAGGTTTGCAGCCCGATTCATTAGGCAATGGGAAAACCAAGTTTCTAGTGAAGAGGTCAGCACGGGGTTACTCTCTCTACTTGTTTCCTAGCTTGAATCAGTTATCTAGTAGGAATAGAATAACAGCAAACACTGGCATTTAAATGAAACAGGTGATTGTGAACAATTACTACATTTTCATTAGGTGCCCTTGAATATATTTTCTCATTAGCTGCTTAGTTTAGCTAATACGTGACAATCTGGTCTTTTGAATTATACTCTCCATGAATCAGGCATGGGAGACCCTGCATGTTACATATAGCTACAGTTCTTAGCTGCTAACTAAAAGGTCAGAAGTCCAAGTCCACCTGGAAATACCTCAGAAGACAGGCCTGGCAACCTAATTCTGAAAAAATCAGCCACTGAAAACCGTAGGGAGCAGTTCGACTCTGATATGCATGAGGATGCTTTGGAATGGACTCTCTGGTAATTGGTTTTTAAATTTGGTATGGGAGGATGTCAGGAATTCTTTAAAAAAAAAAAGTCTAATATACTCTGACTCCAAATAGAACAATACAACAAATCACTGTTGTTAGGTGCTATCGAGTCTGTTCGGACTCACAGACCCTATGAACAACAGAATGAACTTGGTCTTGCACCATCTTTACAATTCGTCCTATGCTTGAATCCATTGTTGCCCCTATTGTGTCAGTCCATCTCCTTAGAGGCTATCCCTTTTTCACTGACCTTCTACTTTACCAAGCATGATGTCCTTCTCCAGGGATTGGACCCTCCTGATAACTTGTCCAGAGCACATGAGACAAATATCACATCTTTTCTTTTAAGGAGCTTTTTTGTCTATACTTCTTCCAACACAGATTTGTTCTTCTGGCAGTTTATGATATATTTAATATTCTTCACCAATGCTATAATTCAGAGGCATTAATTCTGCTTCAGTCTTTCTTATTCATTGTCTAGCTTTTGCATACACACACAATTAGCCAGTAGTAATAATTATAAAAGGAGCTCTGGTAGCGTAGTGGTTACGAATCGGGCTGCGAACCTTAAGGTCAGCAGTTCGAAACTACCAGCCGCTCCGCGGGAGAAAGATGAGGCTTTCTACTCCCGTAAGGATTTACACCCTCGGAAACCCTGTACAGGGTCGCTATGGGTCGGAACCGACTCGACGGCACTTAACAACAACAACAACAACAACAATTATAAAGTATTAGAATGAAATACGAATCTCCAAGAGAGTGAAGGCTTGAGGATGGTCTCCTGTAGATCTTCTTTCCAATATGTGTTTGGATGAAGGGATTTCAACGGTTTTGTTGTTGTATGACAACGACTACTGGGTTTGCCAATTCATTCATTCAAGCTACATGTTCAAATGCCTCTAATTCTCCTAGGGGTAGAGAATGAGTCTATAGGAAGTTTACTTTAGCAGAGGCTTTGTTTTCCCAAATCAAAAATTCCATCGTATATATTCCTATCCCCCTAAATAACCGGCAAGGGGGCCATCAAAATGAGCTGTAGCAGAAAGCTGCCTGAGTCTTCATGGCTTCAGTGTGATGGGGCCCCAGGTCAGAATTGTAAAATAGTTCAGAGAATCTTGGAATATAAAGCATGGTATAGGAAACCAAAGAAGATTTCATCTTATTTATAGAAAGGTAGTTGGTAGGGGAGGGCACAATGGAATAGAGTGACTTGGATCATCATGAATCATTTTTTAAGTACCAACAAAGTGAAAACATCCTATTGGAATTCACTGCAAGTGACACAGAATTCTTCTACTAAGCAAATATGTGATGAGTTGATAAAAAGGGGGGGAAAAAAAGAGGTCTTGAACTCTTGACTACAGATACAATACAGTGAATACAGAAAATCAAAAACATGCTTCTATCTGACTCAAAATAAAGGTGCACTTAAACTTGTAAAAGACAACATTTTTATTTGAATGATATGACAGAACTGTCACAGGAGTGTTACCTGCTATAAAGAAAGCCTAAGAATTATTACCTTTATTAGAACAGTGACACTGAGCTTTAGCCATACATTTCTAACTTCTGTCCCTCTACAGAGACAATTTTCTTTTCTTAAATAAACTGTCATGCTAGTGTTAATATATTGTTGGTTCTCTCATGCTCTGAGAATACTGCTGATATAAAACATGTATATGTTAGATTGGTAATAGTATCTTTAGTGTAGCTGACTAGAACAAATGTGTTTCCCTCATGGCTGTGCTAATGTGATAAAGGAAAATTGGCTGTTCATCAGCTTTTGGCTGGGTAAAGACAGTAGAGATGGAACCACATTCTTTTTTATGCATTAATACTACCGAGAACTTTTCACTAGTTATATTTCATGTGCCTGAATGTTGCGCAAAGATGTTGTAAAACATGAGATAATGCTACAAATAACAAAGCAGAAAAGCCTGTATCTTTTATAATGATAACAGTCAAATACCAAATGACAGTAACAGGCTGTAAAAAATGGTATGCAAAAAAAAAAAATAATAAAAAAATGCAACCCTACTATCCAGTAGAGAGGTATATATATATATATATATTCAGACCCATGTAAGCTGGTATGTATTTTGTGTTTGTTCAAGGCTTTGTTTTAAAAAGAAATAAAATGTAACACCAAGTCAGTGGACTTAAGAAAGAATGTGATTAAAATGAAAACAAGTTAATTAGAATGGAAAAAAACATATTCATAACTTTTTGAAGAATTGATAATATCAAGTAATTATGATGTTAACTTCCTTCCAGAGTTGTTCATTTTTGTTTTTTTTCTTTTGGTGGGGGGACAAGTCCTACTGAAAAAGATAATTAAGACAGTCGTTCACATAACCACTTAAAGATATCTGAGAATGGATATTTATTTTCACCAGTTATTGAAAGGAGTATTAAATAAAAATACAATTTTAAAAGTTAAAATATTCAACACTAAATCTTTTAGCTGTAAGATATTATGTCACTCTTTCTCTACAAAGACTTTTGTTTGCTATTTCATCATTTTTATCAATTAGGATATTAATTATTCTTTTTGCAATTCATTTAAAAGCCCTAAAGCAGAAGGAGCAGGGACTAAAGGCAATGTCAAGCAGCTGATCAGTTTATTCAGAAATATACACAATCATTGAAGATTTTGTATATTTATCATAAATTAAATACTATACAAAATAGTCTCATTGCATTATATTGGCTACTTAGGAATTCTATCATACAAGCAAAAATTTGATAACTTCTTATGGCACAATCCATGTGTCTTTAAAATAAAATCTAGAGGGTCAGTCTAGTTGGCTGATGGTTTTAAACAAAGTTTTATTAGAATGCAAGAAGGCCCAGTTGCTTAAGTCTTGTCTAGAAATGCTTTTGTAGTACAAGTGTAATTGGGACACAGACCATTTTCACCTGCAAAGTCACACCATTGGCCCATTTGACAAAAATGATACTTTTTTTCTCTGGCTACTTGTACAAAATGTTTGTTGACCTCTGTGTAAATTATTGTTAGGTTGTTTGATTGTTATTGTTGTTGTTAAGTGCTGTCAAATTGATTCCAATTTAGCAACCTGTATAGGGTTTCCAAGGAACAGCTGGTGAGCTTGAACCACTGATCTTGCAGTTCAAACGACTTTGCAGTCTGACACATTAGCCCACAGCGCCACACCAGGACTCCATACTCCATAGGTTGTTTGATAGACTCGGCAAATTTCATAGTTATTCTATATTATGGAAATATAACTGGAAAGTGACTAACTGTATAACAATACCTCAAAAGTAAATATTGTAAGAAATACCTTGTATTCAGAACTTTAACTGAATTGTATCCACATGTAAGACATTTTTGGTAAATCTGGTTTTGAATAGTTCTTCCTGATGTCTTTATTTCAGATTTACTTCCCAATCTAGCCATAACAAATTTACTGAGCATCTAAAAATCGTGTAATCTTAAAAGCATAAGAACTCATATCAGTCTAAGCTGTTCAACATATGGGACCGAAAATTATATATACTTGGGAATATTCTAATAGATAGCATCTGTCTTAGTAGCTTAGTGCTGCTGTGATTCAAATACATCCAAGCAGGTGGTCTTTTATTTTCTTGCAGATGGTTGTTGTTGTTGTTGTTAAGTGCCATCAAGTTGATTCTGACTCATGGCAATCCTGAATAGGATTTTCAAGGAGCAGCTGGTGAGTTTGAACTGCCAACCTTACAGTTCAAACCGACCTATGGTTGAGTGCTTATCTTACAGCATCACTACTAAAATTCCAAATTCAGGGTACTCGTTCTGAGGGAAGGCTCTCTTTATGTTGTATTTGGGGAAAATTTTTCTTCAGTTTCTGTAGACTTGGTATTCCTTGATTCTTTGGTAATCCCACTTGGCCTATACCTTGTCTTCCATTTATATTTGCTTCTCTGTGCCTAATCTCATATTCTATATAAAAATAATATGGCATAATTAATATAACAAATAAATTCCTATTTTTAATTGAGAGTATACCAACATGTAAAGGAATTAGAATTCCAACACAAACTTTGGGGGGAGACAATTCAATCCATAACACCATCAACTTCACATAAAATCACTGTATTTAGATTTAGAAAAACACAGATACGTTATTGAGTTATTAAATAAAATAAATCAATTGTTTGTACTCTTCTCATCAGAAGAAAGTAGAGAAGTAGGAGATTAATTTAGGAGAGAGAGTTTAGAATTAGTCATAAAATGAAATGTGTGCATTTAAAATAACAATGGTGGTAATTTTTTATAGGTGGATCAGGAAAAAAATTAGTTTCTTCATCAATGGTCTGGAAGAAGATAATACAGCTTTTGATGCAAGAACTCTAAGTGGCCCAATTATCAATGTTACCTCTGGCATTATATGAATAGGACAGAGTTTAAATGGTAAGATTTTAGCTTTATAATACTATTTATTTTACCCAATTATATTGTTTCAAAAAAATGCTGTCGAAAGTATTTAAATATATTCAGGGAGTTCAGGGTGCTTTAAAATAAAAACTTCTCTATCGCTACCAGTTTTTAAAGCAAGAATATGTAATACACTGTATCTTCTTGTGTATTTGGAGTAAGGGCTATTGTTACATTGAAATTAAAGTACTCGATTGTTGTTGTTGTTGTTAAGTACCATGGAGTCGATTCTGACTCATAGTGATCCTGCACAGTGTTTCCGAGATTGTAAATCTTTACAGGAGCAGAAAGCCTCATCTTTCTCCCGCGGAATGGTTGGTAGTTTTGAACTGTCAACTTTGAGGTTAGCAGTCGGAGTGGTAACCACTACTCTATCAGAGCTCCTTATAGAAAGAGAGAAATAATGTTCAAATATGTAATAAACTACATCTGTGGTGTTAACATTTTCCTACCCTAAAAAAGGGGCATATTGTTTTAAAAGATAATATACAACATATACTGAAAAGATCAGAAGTTGGCATTAGAATTACATTAACAGGACTTGAACCAGTTCATTCTGATTCAGCACCCCCCTACCTTTCCACCCCCCACCCCATTGGAGTACAGTGTTATCTGTGATAGTATAATATTAACAGTTAAAACCACTATTATTCAAACTTATACATCAACTACTGAAGTCAGCGATGATGAAGTTGAAGAATTCTACCAATTTTTTCAGTATCAATTTGAACATACATGTAATCAAGATACATTGATAATTACTGATGCTTGGAATGCAAAAGCAGGTAACAAAGAAGAATCAGTAAATGGAAAATATGGCTTTATTGATACAAATGATGCAGAGATCTCATGACTGAATTTTGTAGAGTCAATGAATGACTGGTTCATTGCAAACACCTTTTTTTTTTTTAAGTTTTTATTGTGAATTGAGTAATAGTTTACATCGGAGAACATCAGTTTTACATTCATCTTATCGTATTTCATTAAGGAGCTCTGGTAGCGTAGTGGTTACGAATCGGGCTGCGAACCTTAAGGTCAGCGGTTCGAAACTACCAGCCGCTCCCTGGGAGAAAGATGAGGCTTTCTACTCTCGTAAAGATTTACACCCTCGGAAACCCTGTACAGGGTCGCTATGGGTCGGAACCGACTTGACGGCACTTAACAACAACAACAACATCGTATTTCATTACATTGCAATGATTACAGTCCCCTCCATGCATCATCATTCAACAACATTTGCTTCCATTCCCTTTTTTTTTTTTAATTTTTTTTATATACACCGAAGGACTCAGGGGTATTTAACCATTCAAACAACCAAAGGGTACACCCTGCAAGCCTGCTCCCCGGCTGTCAGCACACAGCCCCTCTACCTCCTTGAGTCTATAGACCCCAGCCACTCCATCTCTCCACTTCATTGTCTCTTCCTCAATCTCTGGTGTCACTGCTTCTCTGGATAGGGTCCCACACTCCGCTCTTCTCTCTTGATGGTCCCAGGAACCTCTGCTCCTAAACTGCAAAATAACCACTCCCCTCCTTTTGTTACAAAATATCTACCTTTACATTTGCAACACTCACAATCAGTCCTGATAGCAATTATTCATTACTGAACCACAAGAGTCTTATCCCTTTCTCCTTTCACCAGCCCTGTCCAGACAGATTGGAAACCGCTCAGTGGAGATTCTAACTTCCCCACACCATATGGAACTAGGCTCCCTCTTAAAAGTTTATAAGCTAGTCACTTCTTGCCTTTGTAGCCTCCCCATTTTGGGTAGCCAATGTCTAAGTTGCCCATCTCAGTCAACCCTGTGTACTGAGAGGGTGGGAATAATCCTTGCTGTAAAGATTTGTTCCTTCTTTTGAGCTGCTACATCCATAAGTATAGGTCAAGTTCATCAAATTGTAGCTGATTACTATTGGTTTTTTCCTCTTCTTTCTTCCTCTAGTCAACTTCTGATCATCTAGTCATTGAAGCCTGGTCAAGTGGGTACTATCTGCAAGTATGGGTCTTCTTGTGCATCTCCCCAAACTTCATTATCAGCTGGATGCTTTACTCTCCACTCTAGTCTTCTGTGGCCATATCTCTGTCTCTGGGCACAGGCATCCCCAGGTCTCGCCATACGGCTGGCCAACCAGGTCTCAACGCAGGTTGACAAGAGTCCATTGAACATGGTCGGAGTTAGCTCACAACTTCATTGTGTTTTCCCCCCACTTTCGCTTATTGGTAGACCACGATGATCACCAGCAAGACCACATGCCTGCTCTTGTATTACCCTTGAGTCTCAGTCTTAGATGGGGGTTTGCACTGAGAGGACCTGACTGCTTGCCTTGATGGCTCCCTGGTGAACAACTTGCTTGTTCTTGTTGTAGTCAGTGTGACTGCCGTTATTTTGTTGTTGTTGTTGTTTTGTTTTGTTTTTCTGCTGGTCCCTTTCCAGAAGTATTTTCTGTTCTTCTAGCCACTCCAGGCCAGTCTGCTTGTCCTTTCAAGTGGAAATTTCCCACCTCAGAACATTCTAGATGGGGATCAGGATTCCACCTATGGTATTATGCAATGTGAAGCTTCCACAGGAAGCCTCCTTTACTGGGCAAGTTCTAGCCCCATTTTAGGTATTCCAATCAGTTATAGGCTGAAGACAGACTTACAAGCTTTCTATGGTGATGTTTCTGGCTATTCCTTTCTCTCCTCTTTAAGTGTCTAGTTTACAATAGTAGGCAGGGAAACCAAGATTCAAAAGACAGCCAAGCATCTTAACATTATTTTCCCTCTTTTACTCATTCAAGCCATGCCTCAATCCCTGTATCCCAAAGCCCTGTTTTTCCAAGCTTCTGCATACATCATTATTTACCTCTGTCCACTTAGTCCATGCAAATCTGACTAACTGTTCTCCCATCCACCTTGTTCTTTCATTCCTGTCCCTGTTCATGTGTATTGTACCCCAGCACCCAAACTATCCTATGTCTGTTCCATACCTTGTACTCCACCTTCCCCTGCCTCCCCTCACTCCACCCCCTACACACCAGTAAACAACAAGAATTTTTTTTTCCCCTTTTAGTGTGGTTTTTTTTTTTTTAGCTTATATAATAATGGTCCTATGCAGTATTTCTTCTTTTGTGACTGACTAATTTCACTCAGCATAATGTCCTCAAGGTTCATCCATGTTATGTGGTGGCTTGCAGCTTCCTTGTTATTCTTCAAGGTAGCATAATATTCCATTGTGTGTATGTACCAAAGTTTGTTTATCCATTCTTCCATTGTTGGGCACTTTGGCTATCTCCATCTTTTTGCTATTGTAAATAGTACTCTTATGAACATTGGTGTGCATATATCTACTCATGTTATGGCTCATATTTCTTGTGAAATGAATTGTTGGATCATAAGGTATTTCTATTTCCATCTTTCTGAGGAAATGCCATATTGTTTTCCAGAGTGTTGGAATATTTTGCAATCTCTTCAGCAATGTAGGAGTGCCCCAGTCTCTCTGTATCCTCACCAGCATCTATTATCTTCTACTTTTTTGCTCTTTGCTATTATTACTGGTGTGAGATGATATCTCATTGTTGTTTTGATTTGCATATCTCTAATGGCTAGTGATCATGAACATTTCTGCATCAATCAATATGATCATGTGGTTCTTTTCTTTTTTCTTATTTATATGGTAGACTACATTGATCGTTTTTCTAATGCTGAACCATCCTTGCATCCCTGATATGAATCCCACTTGGTCATGATGTATTATTTTTTTGATGTGCTGTTGGATTCTGTTGGCTATTAGTTTGTTGAGAATTTTTGCATCTATGTTCATAAGGGATATTGCTCTATAATTTTCTTTCTTAGTGATGTCCTTCTCTGGTTTTGGTATGAGGGTTATGCTTGCTTCATAAAATGTATTAGGATGTTTTCCATCCTCTTCTATATTCTGGAATAATTTGAGTAGAATTGATGATAGCTTTTCCTGAATGTTTGGTAGAATTCACCAGTGAAGACTTCAGGACCTGGACTTCTTTTAGATGGGAGTTTTTTGATAACCTGGTCAATTTCTTCTTTTGTTATGGGTCTGTTCAAGTCTTCTACTTCACTCTGTCTAAGTTTAGATAGGTCATGTTTTGCTAAAAAGGTATCAATCTCGCCGAAGTTCTCAATTTTGTTGGAGTACAACTCTTCATAGTATTCTTTTGTTATCCTTTTGATATCCTTTGGTTCCGTTGTGACATCTCCCATGTGGTTTCTAATGTGTGTTATTTGTGTCTTCTCCCTCTTTTCTTTTCTTATGTTTGCCAATGGTTTGTCAATTTTATTAATCCTTTCAAAGAACCAGCTTCTTGTCCTGTTGATTCTTTCTATGGTTTTTTCTGTTTTCTGTCTCATTTATTTCTGCTCTAATCTTTATTGTTTCTTTTCTTTTGGTGACTGTAGTTTCCCTCTGTTGGTCAGTTTCTAATTGTTGTAGATGCTGTGTTAATGTGTTAATTTTGGTTCTTTCTTCTTTTTGGATGTGTGCATTTATTGCCGTGAACTGTCCTCTTAGCACCGCTTTCACTGTGTTCCAAAGATTTTGGTATGTTGTGTTTTCATTCTTGTTTGTTTCTAGGAACTTTGAGAGTTCATGTTTAATTTCTTCTACTTCTCAGT